CAGGCCCCGCCCACGGCATGGCCGGTCCAGCCCACCTCCAGGCCCCGCCCGCGGCGTGGCGGGCCCCGCCCACCGCCGGGCCCCGCCCACAGCTTGGCAAGTCCAGCCCACTTCCAGACCCTGCCAAGGCTTGGCGGCGCCGGAAGGGGCTCTAGTCTCAAGACTGCTAGTCTCCCCTCTTTTCCTAGGAAGGCAGGAAGTGGAGCACCGAAGCCGCTCCTTTCTCCTTTTTTGGAGCAAGATAGAAAATGCAACTGAACAAGAAGAAAAGCCGGGAAACGTTTTTGGAATCTCATAAACCTAAATTTGATCCAGGCTCCATCCCTGCGAGACTGTGGACTAAATGTTAAACCTCTATTTGCTCACCTAAGAAGTAGAGGTCATTGTACCATGAGGGAGAGTAGAAAAGAAAAGGAGTAGAGGCCATGATCGTTCAGCGTCTCTCCACGATTCTAGATATGAAATAATATGGTAGGAAAAGTGCCTGAAGCTTAACAGGCAAGCAGTGAACGGTGCTGGTTGTTACTGTTATTAGTAACCCGTGACGTTCTCCCAGCTGAAAGATCTCTGGCATAAAATGATTCCTAACACTGCACAGCTGCTCTGCCAGCTCTGCCGAGTGAACGTTAGAAAAGAAATTGTGCAGGGACTGGAAACCATGGCATCTCTGAAGACATTTCCAAAGACAGGAGGCTCACTGCTAAGAGGAAACTCTCGCCCTCTGGCTCTGCGGAGTCTTCCATGCTCATCTGACCACATGATGCTGCTTGCGACCACAGTTTGCTTCCAAGGTTCCTCCCAACACTTGACTCTTAAGATTCCACAACTTGAACATAATCCATCATCCTCATCCATCACAAAATAACCGCAGAACAGCCCACCACACTTTCATCCCTGATCTCAGCAGTAGCTGAAGGATTAAGTAGACTCTGCTCCCATTTTACAGAAGAAAGGGAGTTGTCCAAAAACAAAAGTATGCTGGGCACAATTCTATTGCTAAGGCACAACAGAATTCCATTCTGGGAACACAACCCTCCCTTAGCTCCAACTCTCATTCATGGCCCTGGGAGTTTGGGGCAGCCAAGTACATTCTATCTGTTCCACAATGGCTAGGCAGAACCAGAAGCTGGAGCATACCAGAAAGAGCATTTGGTTGGGAGTCAGGAGACCTGAGTTTTAGTCTCAGCTCTGTCCTATTTTAGTTAGTTGACTTCTGGTTGAACAGGAAGGTCACTAGCTTTGACACTTATTCAAAGGTGATTACAAATGCTTAAGTACTAAGCATGAAATTTTAAAATGCCGACTGTGCCATAAATAAGGGCATCAAAAATAAAAATAATCAAAATAAAATGCTGAATATCTAATCCTCCTCCATTGAGGGGGAAGAGAAAAGACCCAACTGACCAAGTCCAAAACATCAGTGCTGTGAGGGTAAACTGAGGCAAGGTAGGGCAGTGCCACGGGAATAAAGCAAAGACTTGGAAAAAAGAAAGAAACAGTTTATCATTCACTTTTCACACACAGAAAGGGGCCAACAGTCACAGGCAAAGGAGTCATATGCTTTAAGGAGAGAGAGTTTTTAAAGTTTCTATAAGGAAACAGTGATAGTAAATTTCTTTAGCAACTACATTCTTGGGTGTTCATCTTGCTTCTTTTGCTGTTGTCAAGGCAATTAGTATTGTGACTTCAGGTGGTGATGGTAGAGAGCTGATCACAATAGGTGAGACTAGCTTGGTTTTGCATTGCCAGGAAACAAATATTTAGGATTTAAAAAGTAGTACAAAATATACTTAAAAGGTGCAAGACAGGTATAATGGCTATCTCCGGTAAACCGGGTTTGTCCTTGGCTAATGATTAGAGGGTGAGATGTGTGGGGTACACAATAACTAACCAGCATGTGAAGAAAAAGGAAAAACTCATTTAAAAATGGCTGCTTCTTGACTAAAGCAACTCCATCTTGACTCTACTCTTTCCTTTCCTTCCTCTTGTTGTTTTGAAATATTCTTATTTATAGCTGAGAAATAGGGACAGCTATTAACTTCTGTAGTTTATAGTTTCTCTAATTGCTTCCTGCTAGATAGGGCGATAGAGCTGTCTCTACCTATCACCTTGCTTAAGATAAGAGGACAGGAATGCCAGGGCCAAAGTCCATAAAGCATTGTTTATTTCATAAGGACAAAGCAGCATGCAAAAAGCACAAACAACTATGATTAAACAAAACATGGGCCATTGTTGGCTAAACTCTGGTCTGGCCAGAGTTTAGCCAACAATGGAGCTATGGCCACCATTGTTTTCCTGAGCCTTGGCCCCCTTCCCTACCTTGGGAAGGCGAATCTCTTCTCTCTCTCTCTCTCTCTCTCTCTCTCTCTCTCTCATTTACTTTCTAATGAAATATATTTTCCAAAAAAACAAAAAACAAAACATCATAAAAACTGCCATGGCAGTTGATACGATAGCAGAAAGTTGAAAATGATCCTGTAAAGTAAAGGTACGTTCAGCTAAAGCTTCTAACTTAACATAATTTGATATATTGGATTGTATATCATCAGTGGTAGTACAACAAATACTACCTACCACTCCACAAAGACCTCCTGCCTTTGCCAATAGAAAATTCAATGCCATGTGGTCAACCATTATATACTGTTTGATATCTCCTTCTTTATTAAGCACAGCTAATGCTAGGGAGGTATATTCTGCAACATAGTGGTCCCATCATATTAAATCTTGGAGATTGGGGAAGATATAAACAACAACTCTAGCAATTTGAGATTTTACGGTAGGAATCAATCCCGTACTCACAACAGATCCTTCAAAGTCTTGAGTCTGGAGTTGAATGTCTACATAATTTGTTTCCATGTCTCTGCGAGTTTTACAGTGGGATTTGACCTTGAGTTCTGGGTGTAACATTTCTCCCAATAGCCCTCTCCTCTGCAAGAGAGCCAGTTAGTTGCTACAAGTCGACCACTGTAGTGTGCCAGAATCATAGTTCCATTGAGGAAATGGACAATTTGATCAAACTTTTGGAAAGAATAAACTCCCAAATTGTCGGTTCCATTAGTTTTGAGTGAGAACTGGGTTTCTAAGTTTCTAAATAACCTGCACTGAGGTTATCAATAGTACAGCTCTGTGTTTAACAAATATTGACTTTAAAATATCAGGGAGCCGGGCTTGGTGGCTCAGTCTGTAATCCCGCGCCTTTGGGAGGCTGAGGTGAGTGGATTGCCTGAGCCCGCGGGTTCGAGACCTCATCTCTACAATAAACCAAAAAATCAGCCAGGCGTGGTAGCGCGTGCCTGTAATTCCGGCTACTTGGAAGGCTGAGGTGGAAGGATCACCGGAGCCCAGCAGGTCGAGGCTGTGGAGGCCGGGAGCGGCCACTGCACTCCAGTCTGGGCAACAGAGTGAGACTCCAACTCAAAAAAAATAAAATAAAATATCAGGGATTTCTTGGGAGGCCTGGTTGTGCCCATTCTGTAGATGATGGGGTAGAGTACAATGTTTCCCATATATCTTGGAATGCTGCTACATTAGGCTGTTGCTCATGGCAAAAATTATCAGAGTCTCCATGAAACCCTAGCAGGGGCTCTGTAAGTAGAAAGTCACCTGGTGGTGGAGGAGTGGCAGCTGACTGTAAGTTATATTGGGCATCTAGGTTTGGAGTGGGTGGCACAACACCGGGCACTATTGGGGCTTTACCTATGAGTGGGTAAGTTAGACTTAAAGTTACCACAAACAGGAAAAGTAGCACACCAGTGAGGTCCGTGTTGAGTAGGTGTATTTACTGTTATCTTTATTTGTTTTTTCCACTTTCAATTATTTTTTAAATTAAAATACTGTTATACTCAGTGGAATGCTGCAGCAGTCCTGGTAGAGGGTGGTATAAAAAAACAGCCATATTTATAGCTTAAATATTTACAATAACTTAAACATACAGACACACATCATAGCAGAAAACGTTCACAGCACAAAAAAGTACTTTGAAATAAATACCAAATATCAATCCCAAATATATTAAGTTGGTTTTTTTTCACAATTTTTTCTCTTTTTTCTTTGTAAGCAATGCACATGAACCAAATGTATTTTTCAGCTTTAAACAGGGCTAGAGGAATTTTTTTAAAAATGGAATTGTCCAGCAAATGCAAATGTTTAAAAAGGAAACTTGAGGAACCATGGGGATAAAACAACACATACAAAACAATAAAGAAAATAATTAAAAAAACACAAAGGTTCAAGGAGAACAAAAAACAGTAAAGACAAAACTGTTCAAACCCACCAATAGCTCCTGGGGCTGAACTAGGGAACTCTGAAGACCAGAAGTCAAAGTCACTGCTGCTGGCAGGCTGCCAAGTGGGTGCTTCACCCCAATTTCCAAGTGTCTGCCCTGCCTCGAGGTGCTGGGCATGCATAGCTTTAGGAGCCAGTCTCATGGGCACCATTTTGTGATGGATGCTCCATTCGGATAACAATTTGAGTCTTATCTTGTACTCCCAGTCTCCTTGCGATCACTGAGATTTGAATCTTTTGGAGACTATTGGAAGTGTTAGTCTTGCAGAAACCACAGCCTCATCCTCTCACTGGTGTGGGTTGGGATCATTTAAGTGGACTGGGTGACAGTGTGCAGTTTGTATTAATTCCTTTCTTGTGGAATAGGATTGAGGCATGCCTGTTCAGATTTGTCATCTTGGGCAGTGTTTCCCTGAAACTCCTGCCTGAGTTCCCAGTTACTCCTTCTTCTCAATCTCTTGAG